GGGTAAAGTTCCTGCCATTTGGGGGCATTTGTTCTCCTCTTGGGGACCAAGAGGCAATTGTGATATGTTACCTCAAACCTCCAGCCTTAAATGTTAAAAACATAATGTCAGGGCAGCAAGTTTCATTTATTCTGATTGAAAACTTAAGTCTCCTCTTTGGCTCTTCCCTTGGTTCTCAAGAGATACCAGGGAACCCTGAACCTGCAGGACAAAGTTCTGCAGGGTTCAGAAGTTCTTCTCACAGTTCTCACAGTTTAAAATATATTTTTGAAGCTATTTGCTTAGTGTTTACATAACATTTTAATCTCTTTTTTTCTTTCAGTATCAAACTTATAAAATCAAGAAAGAAGGCAGGGGAAACTTTTGTCCCTTTGTGTTCAATGACATCATGGGTCTGGAGAGGGGAGATGGAAGAGGAGTCAGAACAGACGACATCAAACTGCCTTGAAGGGTCACGTGAAGGATGGTTATAAGGTACAAATACTATACTTTTACTTCTTACTTTTGAAATGATCTTCAATATACCATATAGCCGTATAGCTGAGTGGTAGATCAGGCACAGTCCTAAATCCATCACTATTAGCTTGCCTTATGAGGTGTATACATTTAATACCAGTTTGACTTAATGCACATCATATTTTTCTCACAGTTCAATCCTTTATCTTCTCTTTCTGGTGGTGGTCTTTGCTACAACTCTTCCCCGTTCATCAGCGACAGAGTCAACGTTCTGGTTTACATTCATTCTAAAGTTCAAATCAAGTCGTCTATTTTGCAGAAAATGAGGGAAATCAGAGAATCAGCCAATGAGCTGGGTAAGAAACAAACTGTACAATCAAACTTACATTCACCAAAACTTACATTTATTGTAATGTAACAATAAATACCAGTGAGTAAATCATGTAAACACTTTATGTTGATAACCTCAGTTGGTTGTACAATGTAGGTGGAAAAAAATGTGTTGCAAAAATGAAATTAGCATTTATCCACAAGGTTTTTTTAGTGTCATGAAATGTTTCCACTTTTTTATGATTTGCTCCTAATAATAATCTAAGAAGCGCTTCTCTGCTGTACTTGTCAAAATGTATTTATTTCTGGTAACAAATAACATTACCCATGCAAAGAAAATCTCGGTATCCACAGGAATCCCTCAGCTGGCACTGATGCAAAATGTAGTGTATTCAGAATATTTCTAAGAAACTTCTATAGAGAAAATATAAAGACAAAGGTGAGTTGTAGAAAGTTATTCAAAACATGAGATCCTCCCTCACGGTATTAGACTCTGAATAAACTTTTTTTTTTAAACAGATGGATGACTTCAGCTCCAGTCTGGGGATTCCAGTGAACCACATTGTCATGATGTGTTGCGGAGAGCGGTGAGAGAGACGCCGGGAATCCCAGGTAGTCATGATGAAAAGGTGATTTAATGACAAACCAGGAGGAACAACAGAAAATACTGGCCGCACAGGAACAGAACACAGACGTGAGACGAGGGTGAGATAAGACGAGGATCCGACGAAGAACACAGACACAGGTGGGTTTAAATACACAGGGAAGGTAATCAGGGAACGGGATACAGCTGGGAGCAATCAACAGGGAAGACAGATTCACAGGGGAAACTGGACTAACACAGAAAAACTACACAGAAAACACAGATCCTAACACACATCCTCCCAGTGAAGAACTACAGTCATGAAATTCAAATGAATTCAAACGTCGACATTCTGATCCTGAGTGCTCTGAAAATGATGATTGACTTCGGAGACGACTACACTAAAAACAGTGTAAGTCTACAAAACAGTGTGTGATATGCATGGAAATCACAGCAGTATGTTTGTTCATGTCAGGGTTCTCAAATAAAATTATACATTTTTCCTTTTATCAGTCAGGAATGCACTTACTTAAAGAAATTGTTTTTTATTAAGTTGGTTCAATTTAAAACATACCAATGTTGGGAATCAAAGTTTGCATTCATGTTTGGCTTTTATAATTATTAATAATTATGGTTAATTTATCATTAGTGAAATTATTTATAAAGTTAAAGTTTCTTTAGTAGGCTCAATGCAGCAATTCCTGTATCAAAGGAATCATAAGTCAAATTCATTCCTTTTGAAGGAATGAATTAAAAAATACAGCATCTCTCTGTCTTTCTTTTGTTGTTTGATGTGTATTCAACAAACTGAATAGATAATCCAGATAACCCAATCACCATCAAACTGAATATATTTAACTTTTTTCTTCAGTGAGGAAGTTTTGAATCAGTTCACTTGGAATGGTCAGAAGTTGGCAAGACTCTGAATGTAAAATGATCCTGCTAACACTTTTCGACTACCTTCTCCCTACGGTCCTGCAGTAATTTACACAAATACGTTGCTCCCTCAGAAACAACCAATCAGAGCTAGGAGGGTTTAGCACCATCAACCACAGTGATGGTGCTAAAACGCACTGCTCACATCCTCCTGCTTGCTCTCCACTATGCTACAGCTGGTTGACTTCAATGTTGTCTGCCATAAATGCTCAAGCTTCTTAGCATGGCCATCGATAACAGTGGCCATATTTTCTAACAAATTTTTGTGAAGTTGTAAGTTGTTTCTCCACAAGCACATTGAGCAGTAACTACTTGAGCTTTATTGACAACACTAAGACCCTCCTCCTGGCTCTGATTGGCTGTTGACTGGTAGAAATGCATTTTAGCAGACAGCAATACTAGTTCAGGACAGAGATGGAGGAGGTCAATTTTTTCACACCTTATGTCTCAACATACTTTTGTTAAAGTTACATATTGCAAATGCTTTAAAGAAGTTCTTTTGTAGTTTTAGAAGAAACAATAAATTTTAATATTTATTGATTTAAAAGGCTCAACAAAAAAGTAGAGAAACAAAAAGAAAAATACATGGACAACAATTTGGAGAAAAAAAACAACCTCTTCTTTCTTTGTCTCTCATAGCCCATTTGTGTTCCACTGATGGAGGGTGATCCATGTAAGTAATACAGGATTGTTTGGTTGAAATACATGTAATTAATTAATTACATGAATTTCCTCTCAGTTTTAAAATACCAACCTTATAAAGTGAAACAAAGTTACGGTTAAAGCATTAGAAATGAACATTATACAATGTAACTGTAAAGAAAGTAAATAGCCACTAGTAGTGGTTTATCAGGTCCAGAGAACTACAACGCTCTTCACACTACAGTTAGACATTCAGACACATTAACATGCTGATGGTGGTAAGCTACAATGTAGTTACACCTGCCTTGAAACAGCCTGACAAAGGTGAGGCTGCCATCAGCATCACAGAGTCATCTGACCAGTTTGAATTTAAGCCTAAGTCATTGATGACCACATTCCAGTCCGGTAGGTGGCGGTAAATGCACCTTAAGTTAGTTATTATCCACCAATAAAACACAAAAGAAGAAGAAGAATTTAAGCATAGGCGTCATTTTCCAGGTGTCCCCACACGTACTACATTGGATTCAGGTCCAGACTTTGACTGGGTCACTTTTGCACATAAATAAGTTTCGATCTAATTGATTCCAATGGCTGTACAGTTTGGGGGTAAATGTACCTATAAAGTCTAAAGTTATACACCCTCTGACAGGTTTTCTTTAAGGATTACGTTTTGATCTTTAACACAGTAAGTACAGAGCAAACATTGTAGGAGGCTGCTGCTCAAGTTTGAATCACTCAGGCAGATGAGACTAGATGAATATCAGACCTGCTAAAACAGATCAGTCATGTGACTGAAATCCAAATTGTTTTGTTTAGGTGTTTTAATATTGGCTGACTGGTAAAAGATATTCAGCAAAATTCTGACTACTAGTTTTATCTTTGCTATTATTAATTATCTATAGTACTTTTTTAAAAAGGTTTTGTTGGCTCTTTATTTGAAAGTAGTTTGACAGGAAAGAGGGTAACGAGAGAGGGGGAAGACATGTAGCAAATGTCGTCAAGCCGGGAATCAAACCTGGGACCACCGCCACAAGGACTAAGACCTCAATATGTGGGTTGTGCTTTGCCCCTGTGCCACCACAGCACCCTATGCATTTTCATTACGAAAGTTTATTACACTGAATGTTCCCAGCAGCATTTAGGACATCTGCTGCTTCACTTGTGTCCACCTCAAGCTGCCAAACCGTCTCTTATTGACCTTTTGTCTCTGAGTTTTGGTCAACTTTATTAAAGATCATTACAGTTTTCTTTTATACTTGAAAAGGCATGGATCAGAGGAAAAACAACAAAAACGTTTAATTTATTTATTTATTGTCTTTCATTATGAACTGATCTTCAGAAATATCAGAGTAACCTGATCAAGCCACATGAAATTAGAAAGTCAGCTTTTATTTACCAGTTTTATGCAAATAAATGAAGCATAAAATCAATCAGTAAGACCAGCCAAATAAAAATGTCCAAAATATATCACAAATCCATAAAGATAAAAATACAACCCGTAATGCTGAACAGTAGCTAAATGTTGGGTTTAGCTACTGTAGATAAGGTAGAATCTATGTTTATGGCAAAGATTCTACCATATTGTCAACTGAACTATGGATTTTTCTTGTAAGTGCCTTACAATGTGTAATAAAATATAATGAAAGCTTGATGAGTTAAACTTCATAGAAATATTTAGTCTTGTGGTCAATCAAAGACCAGAGGACATAAAGACATTTTAATGGTTCTAATATCTGAGTAGACGACATTTTAACAGCAACAACTATAAGATCAGCTGGAGTTTGAACTATTTATAAATGATGCTGAGATGATTAATCTAGACCAACATAAAGAAAAGAATTACAACAGTCAATGTGAGAGATAATAAAACCATGAATAATAAATTCCATTAAAAAAAGAGAGATTAGACTTAAAATTAGCAAAAGGTCAAAGTTCAAAAGAGGTGGCGGTAATGACATCANATATACTACCACCCCTGAAAAAGTCCCTGCCACCCTCTTGTCACCCCATAACCCCATAAATATTTTTCTAGATCCGCCCCTGGTGACGTGATCCTCTGAAGGCAAGCTCAAACCCCGAATCCCCCGTCACAGTTTCACGTCAATGACCGCATGAAACAGAGTCCTTGAATGTAGGCCTTCTGCGATCATTTGATCACTAATCATTTTTCTTGGATTGCAGGTAAATGCTCGTAAAAACAACCTGCACCTTAGCATGTGTACATTTCCAAGACATTGTCATGTTTGAATACAAAAGCTTGAGGAATAATTAGATTTTTTTAGTGGGAAAATTTAAACCGCAGCGCGTGCGTTCATCAATGAAAGTCATGGAAACGACGTCGGCGTTCTCAACTGTATAAATGACGCTGACCTTCTGAATTCTTCCCCTTTGCGACGGGACTTTTGAGAGAGACGCCTGAAGAAGCATTTGAAGCCTCGGAAGGATTGAGCTTGTCGAGAAGTCTGCTAGCAAAACTTTCTGACGAAGCATTTGCTGAAAAT